TTGTAGGTATAACTATGGATGGAACAAAAGATATGAATTATGCCAGTATTTTGATAATTGAAAAATACTTAAAAAATTTCTTTGTAAACAACGTTATCAACTTTTTCTGGATCAGGGGCAAAAATATACAAATTAAATTTGGATGTCACACGTGACAGGATTACGTATAATTGACCGCGAGAAAAACACTGAACGCTTAGGTCAATTCTAGCAACATTAAGTGTTTGTCCCTGTGCTTTATTTATAATCATTGCAAATGTCAATTTAACGGGAAATTGAATACGTTTAAACTTAAAAGGTAAATCTGAGGGTATAATTGGTATTCTTGGTATTAAAACAGTTTTTCCATTACCACAGCCTGTTAATATTATGCACTCGAGTAATGAACTTCTCAATTTTTTGTTTTGTAGTCTTATACCGTTGCAAAGTGTGGGTGGGCTCAAATTTCTCATTAAAATAATAGGTGCCCCTATTTTTAAAATCAGTGTATGTGGTGGAACTCCAGAAGGCGTTAAAGAGTTAAGAAATTCAGTTGGGAAATGGACTGCATCCTCTTTTTCTAAAACTGTATCAACTGAATAGTACATTTGTGATTGAGCGTCAAACCTAGATAGAATCAAATCATTTAATTCGTTGACTTGCTCATTCGTTGGTGATAAAATAGCCCTTTCTAAACCATTTCAATAATTTAGAAGATATATTTTGAATGTTCGGGTACACATTTTGAATCAATTTTGTTATAGTGGGTACTGAATTACAGAAACTTTTAATATTTATTTTATCATTCGTTGCTTTAAATTCRCCTTTGCCTATTAAAAGTAAATCTTTGACAACATTTATATTATCTTGATCTGTACATAGCACTCTCATATTAGTTTTAAGTTCTAATATTTTTATATAAGGCCATAAGTAGTATCTTTTCAAAGGCGCGTTGACTTCGTCAGCTTTTGCCCCTCTTGTAACCACAGGAAAAATCTGACGGAAGTCCCCAGATAACAACACTGTGCAGCCACCCATAGGACTATTATTACGACGCAAGTCTCGCATCGTTCTATCTAAAGCTTCTACTGAAGTTTTTTGGGACATTGACGCTTCGTCCCAAATAATTACACTACAGTCTAAAAACTGGCAAACTATTGTAGGATTTCCTATAAAAACTGATGGGTTATTTTTGTAATCCACCGTTAACTCACATTTCATAGCAGAATAATCTTTTCTCGACCATGAACCTCTGTTGTTAACAACATCATCATTATTTGACTGTCGTTCTCTACGTACTACACGCATATTCTTTTGGCATCATTCTGAGATCGACCAATGTTTAACTTTCGTCTAGGCATTTTAAAAATGAAAGTAGTACAATCAATAAATTACGCCTTTAAATAATTAAACCCGYCAACAATCAACAGTTAATAAAATAACAATGTTTATATATTTGCCAGGCTTTGGTTATTAGCAGCATTGATTAAGTATACTTAATCAATGTTAGCAGTATACAATATGTACAATAATATATATATATATATAGGTATACAATTAACACGTTTATTTTAATTAATAATAACTAATTATTTATTAACTTAATCGGACTAATTTTTTGTCTTAAACCTTCTCTGTGATGTCCTCTTTAATTTAAAAAAAAATTGCATGACGATTGAATAAATAGTTTTGGAGTTTATCCCGAAAAAAAAAGCGACTTCATTTTATATAGTAGTATAGATCTAATTGTTTGATCACAATGTCATGCATAACACTATAACAGTATCATAGATCTTTAATAATTCCCTNTTTTTATAGCTGGATACCTATATAAACATAGTTACAGAGTTGGGCATGAATGCATGATAACTCCATATTTTATATTTTAAGTTTATTGAATTTTATTTATAATTAACTATATTGTCTTTATATAACTACTTATAACGTAATAAATATAAAGTAATAAACATTATAAATTTATAGCATGAAGTCAGATGATGTATTTAAAAAAATTGTAGTATTAGTACTATTAGTAATAGTAGTATTAGTTTTGTACCTCYAGAAATTATAAAAGTTAAAATTAATGGTATAGACATTGGAATAGAATTAGACTCAAGGGTATCTAGTTCTTTATTCACTGAAGACATTTTTAATAAAAAATTAGGACACTTTCTTTAGAGTCGTCCAATGTTAATTTAACTTTATTTGACGGTTCAACATCTAAACCAACGAATAAACTTAAAGCATTATTTGAGTACAAGGATAAGAATGTTGAAACAGCATTTTAGTTATAAAAASTGTCAGAAATGTTATCGTTATGCCATTGTTTGGTAGGGATTTAATGAAAGTATTCAACATCACAAGGTCACAAAAAATTGTATCAAAGGTGATTATGATTTATCAAATCTATTAAATGAATACAGCTAGTTGCTCAATAATGGCCTTGGGAAATAAAAAGGTTATAAYATGAGTTTGGAACAGAGTGAAGAAATAATTAAACCAATATTTTGTAARCATCGAACTATCCCGTTTGCACATCAAATGGCAGTAGAGAAACAATCAATAAATCTGGAGGCAGTCGGTGTCATTAAGAAAATTGATGATTGCTGCCAATGAGAATGTGCGTGATAAAAAAAACACACGTTTTCGTTATTGTAGCATCATGTGAATGTATGATGTAAAAGTTGCTTGCATTTAATTATTTAATAAAATATGAAYAACGTTTCTTTATTTATAAGTTACTAGCTGACCCGGCAATGCTTTGCTATTGCAAGATTTCTCAGATATTAAATTGCTATTTATTTTCTGGATGTCTTTTTATTCTAGACCACTTTTAGTCACGTCTTCGTGGTAATGTAGCCATATAAATTTAGCATCGCCACCGTGGATTCTTTATAATGTTTAAAAAAATTTTTTGTATGTAGTGGTAAATGTATATGTATGTAAATTGTGTATGTASATTTTGTAGGTATAACTATGGATGGAACAAAAGATATGAATTATGCCAGTATTTTGATAATTGAAAAATACTTAAAAAATTTCTTTGTAAACAACGTTATCAACTTTTTCTGGATCAGGGGCAAAAATATACAAATTAAATTTGGATGTCACACGTGACAGGATTACGTATAATTGACCGCGAGAAAAACACTGAACGCTTAGGTCAATTCTAGCAACATTAAGTGTTTGTCCCTGTGCTTTATTTATAATCATTGCAAATGTCAATTTAACGGGAAATTGAATACGTTTAAACTTAAAAGGTAAATCTGAGGGTATAATTGGTATTCTTGGTATTAAAACAGTTTTTCCATTACCACAGCCTGTTAATATTATGCACTCGAGTAATGAACTTCTCAATTTTTTGTTTTGTAGTCTTATACCGTTGCAAAGTGTGGGTGGGCTCAAATTTCTCATTAAAATAATAGGTGCCCCTATTTTTAAAATCAGTGTATGTGGTGGAACTCCAGAAGGCGTTAAAGAGTTAAGAAATTCAGTTGGGAAATGGACTGCATCCTCTTTTTCTAAAACTGTATCAACTGAATAGTACATTTGTGATTGAGCGTCAAACCTAGATAGAATCAAATCATTTAATTCGTTGACTTGCTCATTCGTTGGTGATAAAATAGCCCTTTCTAAACCATTTCAATAATTTAGAAGATATATTTTGAATGTTCGGGTACACATTTTGAATCAATTTTGTTATAGTGGGTACTGAATTACAGAAACTTTTAATATTTATTTTATCATTCGTTGCTTTAAATTCRCCTTTGCCTATTAAAAGTAAATCTTTGACAACATTTATATTATCTTGATCTGTACATAGCACTCTCATATTAGTTTTAAGTTCTAATATTTTTATATAAGGCCATAAGTAGTATCTTTTCA